ATTCAAGGGATGAGCGAGATGAAGACCAAGGACATACGAGCGCTTGTTTGCACGCTAGATATCGATATACACCGGGTCTGATACGTGTGCACAGAGAGCGTTAACTCTGCCAAGATACATTCGCGGGCAAGACGGGGGATGTGAGGATCACAGAATCAAATAGCATGGCAGATATTCTTGCGACGAGCGCTTAGAGACATTTTTGACACAGAAGAAACGACGTATTCACCCACTCATCTCTTCTGAAAGGGTCGCAATCTTTGCCTCGAAGGTTATGCTCCGAGGCTTCAGAACTGCGGAAGATGAGTGATATTCGTGAAGGGAAAACGAGGGGAACCTACAACGTTCAAACCCTTGTTACCCCACGGGACTTGAAGCGATCGAAATGGCGTCATCAACGTCAACTGGAAAGTATACTGCGGCACCGAAGTCCCAGTCGCACGCACTCATAACTGAGCGATCGAAAGATGGAGAGCTTGTTTCTCCGGGAGGTAAGGTCCGAACACCGGGGGTGGATGTGGATGTGTGCACAGAGACGACTGTGTGTGATGCCTAGCTCTGGGCTCGGAACATGTCGTTATCTTCTAAACTTCTTGTCCACCACACAAACGTCAGTTTGGAGGTCCCGGTTCCATGTCATATGGCAGTCACGCGAGCTCTATCCTGCCTATACCTCCCCACCCACCCCTCAGAAGACGTACTCAAGCGAATAGAAACGTATCGATATGTCAGATAAGCTCCCAGCGTACGTTATCGAATATCATCACAAGAGAGATTTGCACGCCTTGGCTCGGAGGATTGTTTAGTAGCCGGGAAAATACCATTTGTCCGAGTCGGGAGACCTAGAATTTGAGGGGGGGCCTGCCGGGAATGTGAACGGAAGATTGGAGGCATCTCTTTTCACGTGCGCATAGCGGTGACTAGAACTTTGGCAGAGATTCGGGCTGAGACGGGATCGTGGAAATGATGGAATTGAATGATGACTTTGCGAGAAGGGCTGGGAGGATGTGGGAGATTAAACAGCTTGGAGGCGCTGGTATTGCCTCGAGATATCGCTACGCAGGGATTCTCGCAGAGGCGCTGGAACATCACGGACCGAAGCGGTATCGTGGAAACGATGAGATTGAGCGATAAGCGCTGAAAAGATGTAAGTTTATTTACTTGTCTATCGGGAAGTGCTGGTATAGCCTCAAGATCAATTAATGAACCGAAGCTGGTCGAAAATGAAGGACCTACTAATGCCTGTTATTATGGGGATCAATGCGTAGCAGGCAGGAGGGGGATTCATCTGTAATCGACATACAGCCAACCGCAGAGATGTTACTCGGGAACGCCGGTAACACCGAGCTTTATGATGAGCGAGTTGAAAACACTAGATAGATATCAGAGGGTTGGATTCAACACAACGATGCATTTACTAGCGATTCCCCGGTATGACGAAAGATGGTAGGCATCTTTTGTTCGTATCATGAGCACTGCTAGAAATGAAGAGATCAATTAATGAAGACGAGTAACTGAAGGGGACCTACAAGTGCTTATTACCCCGGTGAAATCAAATCGGAGGGTATGGTGGACATGAACTACTGAGGTCCTGACGCGGATGATTGACTCCGCGTTGCAAGGTCAGAATTGACTGACTGGGGTAAGCGATATTAAAGAAGTGTCGATGAAGGACAGTTGTGTTTGAGATATCGCTTATACTTTGAGGAGGTAAGCGTTGATGATTCCGTAGTGTACGGGATAGGACGGCGACGTAAAGATACTGGGACGGGCTTTCCAGTGGCATCAAAAGGGCCAAAGCCATTGACAGACAGAATATTCAGAAAGCTATTCAAACAAGCCGGAGAAGAACGGCCGAAAATGAGCGATGTAATGATGAACAGGAAATGAAGGACCTACAAGCGCCTGTTACCCCACGATACGTCAATGCTGATGCGAGACGGTATCGCTATCGTGCGGAACCGGAAAGGATGAATAGAGCGTCATCAAGCGTTACTCGAGTGTATAATCAAGCTTTGATGGCGATATCCGCTCAGAGACAAGTGAACAAGTGCCATGCGTCATCAGAATCCGAAATCGGGGTGAGGCGGCGAGTGGAAAGATGCTAACCGAAGAATATAAAAAGGATGGATAAATAGAGTCATGCGTTTGCTCACCCAATTCCCGGTACGGATTGAGATGACGGCAGCAGAGTCGCCATCTTTTGTGCGTATCTGGGCCGCTGTGGAAGCACCGGAACTTGAAGAGATGGAGAGAGGGAGATTAATTAACGAAGCCAGTAGCTGCAGAAGATGAAGGACCTACAAGCGCCCGTTTAAGCTTCGCTAGAGTCAGGTACGGTTAGACACCGATAACGTACACGAAGAGTCCGAGTTGAGCAGGAAAGTTAGGTCATCTTGGCCTGAGACGGCGATCTGTGAGTGTGACGGTTCGTCCTAACCCGGACTTGCAGATACTCCTCCCGTCCCAGGCCGTAAACGTGAGATCTGGAATGTCACGTCGGTGGCTTTTGCTAGTAGCCCCGTCCGAGGGTGCTATGATTAAATTTGGAGTCACTGCCCCGGCACAGCTGAATGAGTCTAATCCATGCAAAGAGAGTAGTGCTAGCGTATCCAGAGAGTCCTGTTGAGGGCAAGCTGTAAAATGAAGCGCCTCCAGGACTGCGGAGTGTGAATCTAATCTGCTTCCGGCGGACAGGCACATGCCGGGCACGTGCCGCGTAGATAAAGAAGTGTCACAGCCGAGATCGCACTTGTTTTGCGACAGAACCGCCATGGGCCTCAAGGCAATTGTTTCCACGCAACCTTGACTGGATATATATACCTCCGCCGTTCTCTGCAATTATCTTTATTGTTCTCCGCCCCTCACACTCTCTCTTCATGACGGAATACGATTATTCACCCGACGCTATTGAGCGCTACCAGGCGACGATGCGCCGTATCTCTCGCTGGGTCGATGATGCTGAGGCCCATGCCTGCGAGTTCAAGTCCCCCTTTGTTCCTCGCTCGGATGTTGGGGACGACGATGTCCCAGCTCAGCCTGTGCTCAGCCGGGGGATGAGCAAGCGAGTACCTCCTCCGCTGTACGCCCCAGTGCCGGGCCCCATGCCGCCACACAGCCATGGTCCCGCGCCACCTCCTCCTCGTCCTCCACAAGTACCGCTCCACGGCCCGGCCCCTCCCCCATCTCATTCTCGCCATTCGCCTACTCGTCATTCCTCAAGTCGGCGTTCGTCATCACATCCTTCGCACTCAAAACACCGCTCCGGGTCGACATATTATGTGTCGCCTACGCCTACGCCGCCTCTGCCTTATTATCCGGCCTATAACAACCCGTATTACCAAGCGCGGCCATCCCCGTACGCTCCTCCTCCACCCCCACCGCAGTACTACCGCAGCGGCAATGTAGTCTACGCCCCGCCACAGGGAGGATACATAGTAATGCCTCAGAAAGGCCGTTCCTCAAAAGTCGTAGTATGCATCCTCCTTTTCGTCTTGCTCCCCGATCTAACATTTCACTTGAGTAGTCCTCTGTCCAACCAGTGGTTTTTTCCACATCTTCGTCGACAGATTCTGAGCCTTTGCCGCCACCCCAACGTCAGCCTCACTCGAGCTCGTTCCTGCAGAAGGTCTTTCATAATAACCCGTCGTGACAGCCCTGCTCCCGCTGTCTATGACCATCAGCACGAACACCGCCCGCATCATCATCACCACCATCATCATCATCGGCATAGTTCATAACCTCTCTTTCTTATTCCTTGGGTTTCGCATCCATACTATATAAACCGGACGATTCGTATAGTATATAAATCTTATAGGTAATGCGTACTGGATGTTCCTTCACTATTTCGGGCATTGTAAATAATATCATTACCCACGTCCCGACTTCGGGGGGCGTAACGTCGTTCCAGATCCTTCATTGCCAATATCTTGACCTGGGCGCATCGCATGCGGTTCAAATGCTGAAATGCCCGCATTCCTCCGACTCGCCGCTAGCATGCAAGTGATGGTTGAATTGGGATGTTGGCGCTATCGTTAGAGGGCGACCCGTTTTTTCCCGACAAAAATGGTTGAAGGATAACCCAAGGTGTAAAAAGCCTTGTGCGCTTCGCGTAAACCCTCGTTCGACTTGGAGTAGATTATCTTGGCACTATGCAACCGCACATTTGTTTACACACCGACATTTGGCGCTAGAATTTCCTATTCATAATTCGGTACATATACACGCGCTCTTTGTACATAACATTTGGGATATCAGAGTGAGAAGTGTTGGTGGTACTAATGGGGTATTCATCAGACCCCGAGTTGATCACCAATGCGGGGAAGGGTGCCACATACCAATTTAGATGAGTGGGGGAACCGGTCCTTGGGATGCGACGTGAATGAATAAATAATTGACCGGAGAAGGGGGATTGGAATGTGTGTGTGTGGGCTAGGGACTATGTATTGCGTGATTTTGGGAAATGGATGGGTATGTCAGCCCTGAAAGGAAAGAAGATCCTCGGTTAATAAGCTGGAAGCAAGCTGCGGGATAATCGACTAACCTTTTAGCGGTGCTTCCTGCCTTCGCCAGTAGCGATGAGAACGACCGCCCATATATTACGCGTTATCTCTGACATGACTCTACGCTTATCATCAGCACACACACACCCCAGTCAAAAAAACCCCCGAACCCAAACACGAACCTCGTAAAAGTGGAAAGTGGGAAGAGTGTGTATACAGAACGGACTCGGACTCGAAGGGAGGATTTGAGGCTTGATGCTCCTTCCCTCGTCGATACACGACTCTTTATATACCCATAGCATGGAACGACCGAGAATCGAGGGCTCGAGCGAGAATCCACCCACATCGAAATTACGAGCAGCGGTCGAGCAATTCTAGAGCGTCGTTCGATGGACGGTGAGGGTCAAGTGGACAACTGGGGGCTTCGGGGGGGACCGGAGGGTGGTCTAGACCGGTAGGCAACACGAATGTAAAGGCATCGAACAAAAGGTGTACGTTGGCCGACTAGCTCAGTTGGTTAGAGCGTCGTGCTAATATTGCAAACAGGTGTGGCATTAGTTTAACGCGAAGGTCTTGGGTTCGATCCCCACGTTGGCCAATATCGCTTTCGCTACAGATTTTTCAAGATCTTTCCTGTTAGGCAGTTGTTTAGGGCTGCGCACGAAACCTCCAGGGGTAACTTACCAATCCGAAACTGGGGTGTATCAAAGTTGGAGGTTTTGTATGCAACCCTATTGTTGCTATCTAAAGTACAGCTAGGAATGTCCAATGCACCTAAAGAATACCTAGAGAGGGGTATTTTGGCATGGTAATTTATTGTTTCCCACATCAGGTCCAAAATCATGTCCTTGCAAATTTTTCTTTCATCCTGAAGTGTCATCCATTGACAAATTGCTACAGGGACATGTTGTAGGAGATCCATCTCCTTCAGTCCAGGTACCACTTCTACTATATTCTTTCTTTTACCTTACAGTGGGGATCCCGCTTTTCTATTTACTTATTTTACTTAACCCACCTTTACATTACTCATCCCGCTCATCCCGCTCTATTCGTTTATGGTAAAACCCCTTACTCTAACAGTATATAAGATACAAAAGCTATACTAGATAGCAGGACTTCTAATCGACGTTCTTATAACCTGGTCTTTTCTCCACCTGACTTAGTCTTAGCTTCACTTGACCAACTCATGTGCCGTTACTGCCAACTCTTAGTCACAATGCTGTCACATATTTTTGACCTCTAAAGAACTTCATTTTGAAAACAACTCGACAAAAACCAAAAGAGCCTTACTGGCAAGGCCTCGTCGATAGGAAACCTCTGGCTTGATCACCCAGACTTCCCCCCCCGACTTTCGCCTTGCCAACCAAGAAACTCCACCTCCCCTCCCCTCACCTCTAGCTTCTCTTCTATCTTCGAAAAATTTTGAACTCCCCCCTTACTCTCAAGGCAGCCAGAAAATTTTTCATGGCACCGCTTACCCGCTTCGAAAGGGGCCTGCTCCGAGTCTGGAGCTACCCTCTCGGGGAAAACCTAAAAAGGCAACAGCCATACCCGCTGAGTATCCGCTTATTCATTCTAAATTTAGTACTGACCTTTTGGGGGACAATGAGAACCCCTTGACTAGCTATGCGAGCCTCTGGCCGGACAACAGCATGTCAGAGGCTCGGGCCCTTTCTCTATTGATGAGAAGGGATTACCTTCATGGCCCATGAAGGAGGAGTCAGTTCGCATCCGACAACTTCTGACCTTCTGAGCGACCAAGGCAGTCGCCGAAAGTGCGAATAAGCCGATGTCAGCAGGATTTTGAAACCGCACATGAGACAGATCTTCTCGATTTGAGAGAAGACTCCATAATTCTCCACCCTGATGATGTGAAAGGGTGGGAGAAGGTAGAAACGAGACAGGTGATGAGCCTCGTGGCTCTGTGCACTCAGAAATCATGGGCACACAAAACAATTTAACGAAATTCTTACTTGCAAGGATGTTCAATTAACCAATCCTTGCAAGTCCTGTTACAAGTCAAAACCCCACCAAATAGTCATTTAGGTCATGAAGTGCATACTCAATAATGGTTCATGCAACCATAAATCATCAATACGGCACAAAGTATGCTGGCAATACCGGTTACCACGAGACCGACACCTGAACTAGTCATTCGATTCATGTCATCACCTAAACAAAGGTGGCATGATGCAATATTAGTCATGTGATGCCACCCATACGATCACCGACTGCGCATAAGCACGCAAGGCTGTGCCCAGCTATGGGACTCGTAACACAAACATACAGGTCGGAAAGTTAAATAAGAAATGAAGTTCACGAATCACCCAGGCTAGCACTGCGCAACTAGTATCTGTCAGTCAGCTAAGGATGCCGCAATACATTGAAAACTGGCATACACAATTATATGTTATAAAGCTCAGTAAGAGACGTTATAGCAACGAATAATAGTGTTACAAACCCTTCACAAAGCTCACTAATCTATTACTGCAGGTTACAAAGAATGACACCTTTAGATTACATGAACCGTTAGAGAAAATTAGTATAAAAACTCAAGTGTATTAGCCAGAAAGACAGAATACGCTCAGGATACTACTCCCCCATACCAAAGACTACAGAACCCTTAGTGTTTGCACTAAGAATGTATACACCAACAAGTCAGTGACAACGAATGCACTTAACTAAGTCGCGACCCCACCGTCCCTTGCTTTACTCTATAAACCAAGAAGGCGGTTGTTCACCTTCGTTGGCATCCTCACACTTCCAGACATTGCACTCCAAGACGAGCGCAACAGTAGACTGCACCGCATACTAGGCTGCAATAACACCTTCGCGAACTAGATAGTTTTTAATAACTGCTTCGCGAACTGACCTTGTCTTATACAGAGCCAGTAGCTTGAGACATAACACCAAGTAGCCTTGAATAAGCTACAAACTTAGGACCTATAGTCACTGCACGGAGGTGCCTGACTAGACTCGCTAAGAACCTGCCTTCAGATTCTGTGATTGATTATACTTGCCATTTAGGTGTTGTGTTTTCTGCCCGCAGGAGTCCCTAGGTTCATCAATGGGGTAGACATACCCCCTCCCCAGACCCCAGCTTGAGTTTAGCTGGACATATTGCAGGCTCCAGGAATAGATTTGATGTACTTGCAGAATCAGTGAGCCCTGCAGAGAATAGAGTCACTATTGACAAAACCGTTAAATTCTTCCACAATGAATGGCAGAAGAACTTTGAAAAACAGTTAGGCAATATGCTAAATGGTTTTGTCAAGAATCGTGCTGCCGAACTAAATGATGAGGACACAAGCGACTGGCTATGAAACTGAAACATGTGCAAACCCACCCCTCAAAAGGTAGATAAGGGGAAAACTAGGGAATTTCATGACACTGGCATACCTGGGATTGATAATGAGGAACTCGACCCCGAGAACCAACGTCGCAAGTGGGAAAAACTGGAATTCCTAAAAGACGAAGACCCCGAAATGCAGAGGGCAATCTATGAAGGGATCAGTTAATAGCTGGAAGACATTTAAAAACAGTGAATTGGATGCCAGGTGCAACATCAGCTGGCCCTAGCACTTCGGCACCCAATAATAAGAAGTGTGTCGAAATTGTTGCTGAATCATATGGTGACGACGATGTGGGTGAAGATCACTCACATTTGCACACCCTCGCCTGTGGATGGAAGCAACAGCCCAATGGCCAATCACCGCATCCACAAAGAAAACAACAAGAAGGTCTATATGAACATTCATGAGGCTCCGCCAATCATGGTGGAAGAACCTTTACATACGAGGGAGAACTCAAACTTTGCCCCCCCCCCCCGGCTACAAGCACTCCGACGTCAAAACCTAAAAAGAAGGTCACAATTGTCGAGGATAGCAGCAGCAGAGAAAGGCTGGATTCGACCATGCATGCTAGCAATAGCGAACCCAGTTCGTCCAGCCTGGCCCCTGTGAACGCCGATAGTCTTGGAGGTGTGCAAGGAAGTTCGCCGTTGTCCAGTTCCAATAAACCAGGAAATCCACATATTGACTTACAAAATATGATCACTGTGTCCCGAAATGCGATGCGCTCTGAACATAGCCGACATACTCCAAATGTTCGAACGGGGCCTGCATTTGCAGTGGACCAAGTAGCCCCAAATAGCTACTTGAGGAAGCTGTTGAAGAAAGCAGGTACAAGTGCTGGGATAGCTTTACCCCCTGAAGGCCCTGGTGACTCGAGTTCTGATTTGTCGTCAGTCATCCTCCTCGGATGATGATTCAAACTGATCCAGGGATGACTCCAGAAGTGGAAAGAAGAAAAAGCACCACAAGAAAAAGAAGACATCCCCGCTGGTCTTGGGAACGTGAGAATGCGTCTTGGGAGAAACCAATTCCTCCAGGCACGTACAATGGATCTGATGATCCTAAAAGGGTCGCGCATTTTATCCAGGAATGCGAGCAGTATTTGAAGATGGCTCACGTCCCAGAGGAGGACAAGGTTTTTTCGAATTTCGAGATATCTTGAGGGCCCTGCATGCGACTTCTACGACCAGAGTGTCAGCATGAATTATAATCAATGGGACGTTGACACCTTCTTTTGGGAATTGTTTAACTATTGCTTCCCAAGGGATTATCGTGCTAAAGTCCTGTCGTAAGATTAAGCAATGTTTTCAGGGCAGCAGGGATGTACATGCCTACACTCATGAATTGTGGGGCCATTATCATATGCTTGGTGATGAATCGGACTGAACCCAAGTTCTTTGTTTGTGGTGGGGACTGCGACAAGACCTTCGTAATGAGCTACTGTGCCCAGTTACTATGATGAGGAGGTGAATACCTGGGAGGAAATCGTTGATATGGCTGAGATCCTCGACATTTCTCAGTCGAAAGGATGATAGCAGGGCCCATGGCGATTATGAACACAATCGCCATGCCGGTAATCGTAGTACCAACGACACTACCGAACAGCAACAAATGGAATGATATTCCCCGATCAAAACAAGATCATGGTCCTAAGCCTGCAAAGCAGTCATTTAACGATGAGTTATGTGAATTGTCTGGCATACCTCGGAAAGGCCCTGTCCGCAACTGGGAAAAACCTGTGAATGAGAAGTCATGCCATGTGGCAGTGAGCATCAGCTTAACAAGAAAGAAAGAGACGAATACCTCGCTGAAGGAAAGTACTTCCATTGCGGGAAGGCAGGGCATATGTCCTGCCAATGTCCCGAAGGAAATACTGTTACCTTGCGCACAACAGCGGGTCCCCCTGGACAGCATAAGCCACCTAAGATGTCCTCCTCCAGCATCCAGTTGAAACTGAAGGAAGCTGATCACTTGACAAAAGTAGCGGATGGCTCATCTGTGTTGGAAAGCAACAATATAGAGCTTTGCATCGATTTGACTGACGATAAACCAGCTTCTGAAGATGGCTGGACATCGGAGGAAGCTGATAAATGGTGGACTTGGAGAATGAATTCAGTGTCGTTTTGGCCGGATTCTTTGACTTCATCTGCTCCCGGCAGAACAGAGGGTGAGAAGGTGAATCATTTTAGCATGTATCGGACTAAGGGAATGAAATATGTCCTCTTCGACCATCTACGCCCCAAAC